ATCTTTTAACACAGTCAATTCCACTAAATCCTTCTTTACATCCACCTTGACAGCTACCATTGATATGATCACATGGTGATGTTTCTACTAAACAATTTCTATCTGAACATTTCTTACTACATCCTGATCCATAAACATCAACTTCACATTCTATTTAAAAAACATAGATTATAAAGATGTTAACTACCAGGTGAACAAAGATGTAAGGCTGCATTCCATCGAACATGTTTTATGCCCACTATTATGAAATAAGAATTCTGCTTTTTGTCCTCCCATTTTAGATGAAGACAGACAAATGCATACTGTGTTCAATGATACACCTTAGTTTAATTTGAAATATGAAGAAAAAACAACCCTCCTCAGCATGAAATACTGATTTTCTACAAGGAACACAAAAAATGATTATGATTTTCTGAGACAGATATTGAACATAATATCATTTTGTATTGACATATAATAAAGAAATACAAAATACTTTGATTACAAGTTGTTCCAGTCCATCCATCAGCACATCTACCAGGACATTCACCATTCTCTGAACATCTTTCATTATTTAAACAATGACAGACGTTGGTACAATTTGAACCAAACGTTTCTACAGAACATACTGAAATCAAGTGAAATTAAATTGTAAACATATAGATATAAGTATAGTCAACTCATTAACAACATTATTGTACTTTCACACCAAAAGTCTATTGACTCTTCCCATGGACAAGATTTAAATCGATAGCATTGATATTACTGATAATAAAAATATTTAACTTGGTATTGATATGACATATTTATACTACTGATAATAAAAGTTATAATAATATTTTACTCGTATGATGCTGATATTACAGGCCTTAAACCTCAACTCGTGCTGAATCCTCTAGTAGTCATTTTTTAATCAGAATAATTCTATTATCTTGAAATGCAATACATTGCCACGGACACGTTATTTATTTTTTGTCGTCGAGTTAAGTCTGAATCGTTTAAACTGTTGAAAATTCTAGTGAATAAAATCTTACCATCAATCTCCACTTCACATAAGACTAAATATCTGGCATCTCTATTCATATGAAAATTACTGATATTTACATAACGACCAGTTATAGTCTGACTACACTCTATATTATTTACTGCTGGTGTAGTGTAACGCACAATATTATCTTTATAACATAGTTCTGGTGTTTCATTCTCTCTGTTTACATGTATGGAAAAGCCATTCAATGATTTCAAGGCTGAAAATAAACATTGATATATGCTTGTGGCGTCTTGATGCGTTTACGATTTTTCACATTAGGTAATGGATTGTGATTTTATTTTCTTTATTTGAACTGACGAATCGGTTTAAATCTATTTTGAAATACAAGCATGCAACTTTAGAACTACTAGACAACAGTTAACCTAATTGTGGTTAAGACGAAGTTTCATAAAATAATTATAAAAAGGGATTATGCATAATTTGAGTTATGTCCTCTATTGATTAGTAATCATTCTTACTGTAAGGTAATATTTCTACTCACTCCAGTAAGCTGAAATACAAAATAAAGTTAGAATTAAAATGTTTGTTATTATTATTGTAAAATGATTTGATGAAAAAAGGAAAGAAAGGACAGAGTTTGTCAACGAAACAGATTTACAGTAACTAATTTCCAATTTAAAAATAGGTATTAGTACTGTTCACTCCATACACAGAGTAAATGTTCCAAAGCTGCCTTGTATTACTATGTAATTTTCAGCTCGATTTAGGTCGAAGAGGAACGTTCTCCATTTTTTTTTATGAAACCAGAAAATGAATGCAGGACTGATGAACAGAATATGGTGATTCTTAGAATAATGTTTTTATTAACATTATGATTATATAAATTTTTCTAATGCTAAAAATAACTTGCAGCTCACGTTCGTTTCGATAATAGATGGTAATATGTTTAATAGGATATTCTTCTTGTAGATCTACTCTCCACCATCGTGTAGAATCACCACCAGTATCAGTACATTTGTTAGGTATATTAGTAGTATTATCACCATCTACAGCTAAATCAGAAGTTCTTTTACCATTAGTGTCAACCTGACTTGATGGTTTACCAAGAGCTACATTCTCTATAAAATGTTAACATCATTACAAAAATGTTCAGTCAATATCAGTTGCTATTATTCCTATTATTATTATATTCTTACACTAACATAAGTTAATCAACGGATTTTGAATAGACAACATAATGATGGAAATGAAATGAGATGAAATGCATTAAGGAGCTTCAGCACCAAACGGGCTATATACGGTTTAAATATCATGTCATAAAAACAAAACTAAAACAATATTATAACAAAAAACAATAACACAGAACAAAACAAGAAAATATCACAGAAAAGGTCACTCAATGACTTCATAACACATCAATACAAACAGTACCACAGGTTATTCACCACATGGTGGTATTAAAACCAAACACAATATTAAAAACAAACAATGACTAATAATTTTAAAAAGTTAAAATAAAATTTTATTTGTTTCAAATGGGACAACCTTCTCATATAGAGAATGTTGCGCAAAAAGCTGAAATAAAGATCCAGCACGGTAGTTAGGAGATAGGAAGTTGAAATTTACACAGCAACTAGTTTGAAATCTTAGATTTGCAAAGGCCACAAACCGCGATTCCATATCAGCCTTACTGTGGATGCACTGAGCGTTTTAGTTTTGTCCATGAAAAACCGGAATTTTTTGCACTTTTCCGCAAAAAAAAAAGTGCTCAGAATTCACTTTTATGCACATTGGGGGAGATCTAGAGAAGCACCGAGTCCAAAAAACCGGGTTTCTAAAAATTCTAACCAAAAATGGATTTTGGTACCACAGGTAGCTACTTGTTGAAATTTCCCAATTTTGCCATTTTTCAAAATCCAAACTTTGCAGCTTCACCACGGCCAAACCACTTGAGATAGGAAATTGAAATTTATACAGCAAGAGTTTGAAATCTTAGCTTTGCAATGCCACAAACCGCGATTCCATATCTGCCTCACTTTGGAAGCACTGAGCGTTTTAGTTTTGTCCATGAAAAACCGGAATTTTGGCACTTTTCCGCAAAAAAAAAGTGCTCAGAATTCACTTTTATGCACATTGGGGGAGAGCTAGAGAAGCACTGAGTCCAAAAAACCGGGTTTCATCGATTTCTGAGACCAAAAAAATTCGACCCAAAATGGATTTTGGTACCACAGGTAGCCATAGGGGGAGATCTCCGAGACCAAAAAAATTCGACCCAAAAATGGATTCTGGTACCTGTTAAAATTTGCCAATTTTGCCTTTTTTGAAAATCCAAACTTTGCAGCTTCACCACGGACAAACCACTTGAGATAGGAAGTTGAAATTTACACAGCACCTAGTTTGAAATCTTAGCTTTGTAATGCCGCAAACCGCGATTCCATAGCTGCTCTACCAAGAAAGTTCTGGGCGATTCCGTTTTGCTCATGAAAATCAGGCTTTTTTGGCACTTTTTAGCAAAATAAAAAAGTTCTCAGAATCAAGTTGTATGGGCATTGGAGGACTCCTAGGGAAGCACCGAGTCCAAAAAACCAGGTTACATCGATTTCCAAGACCCAAAAAATTCGACCCAAAAGTGGATTTTGGACCCACAGTTAGCTACCTGTTGAAATTGACCAATTTTGCTTTTTTTCAAAATCCAAATTTTGATGCTTCACCACGGCCAAACCAGTTGAGGTAGGATGCTGAAATTTTGACACAAAATAATTTCAAATGTTAGCTTTGCAATGCCGCAAACCACGATTCTATAGCTGCTCTACCAAGAAAGTTCTGGGCGATTCCGTTTTGCTCATGAAAATCAGGCTTTTTTGGCACTTTTTAGCAAAATAAAAAAGTTCTCAGAATCAAGTTTTATGGGCATTGGGAGACTCCTAGGGAAGCACCGAGTCCAAAAAACCAGGTTACATCGATTTCCAAGACCCAAAAAATTCGACCCAAAAATGGATTTGGACCCACAGGTAGCTACCTGTTGAAATTGACCAATTTTGCCTTTTTTCAAAATGCAAATTTTGATGCTACACCACGGCCAAACCAGTTGAGGTAGGATGTTGAAATTTTGACACAAAATACATTCAAATGTTAGCTTTGCAATGCCGCAAACCGCGATTCCATAGCTGCTCTACCAAGAAAGTTCTGGGCGATTTTGTTTTGCTCATGAAAATCAGGCTTTTTTTGGCACTTTTTCGCAAAATAAAAAAGTTCTCAGAATCAAGTTTTATGGGCATTGGGGGACTCCTAGGGAAGCACCGAGTCCAAAAAACGAGCTTACATCGATTTCCAAGACCCAAAAAATTCGACCAAAAAAATGGATTTTGGACCCACAGGAAGCTACCTGTTAAAATTGACCAATTTTGCCTTTTTTCAAAATCCAAATTTTGATGCTTCACCACGGCCAAACCAGTTGAGGTAGGATGTTGAAATATTGACACCAAAAATTTCAAATGTTAGCTTTGCAATGCCGCAAACCGCGATTCCATAGCTGCTCTACCAAGAAAGTTCTGGGCGATTTTGTTTTGCTCATGAAAATCAGGCTTTTTTGGCACTTTTTCGCAAAATAAAAAAGTTCTCAGAATCAAGTTTTATGGGCATTGGGGGACTCCTAGGGAAGCACCAAGTCCAAAAAACCAGCTTACATCGATTTCCAAGACGCCAAAAATTCGACCCAAAAATGGACTTTGGACCCACAGTTAGCTACCTGTTGAACTTGACCAATTTTGCCTTTTTTCAAAATCCAAATTTTGATGCTTCACCACGGCCAAACCAGTTGAGGTAGGATGTTGAAATTTTGACACAAAATAATTTCAAATGTTAGCTTTGCAATGCCGCAAACCGCAATTCCATAGCTGCTATACCAAGAAAGTTCTGGGCGATTCCGTTTTGCTCATGAAAATCAGGCTTCTTTGGCACTTTTTCGCAAAATAAAAAAGTTCTCAGAATCAAGTTTTATGGGCATTGGGGGACTCCTAGGGAAGCACCGAGTTAAAAAAAACCAGGTTACATCGATTTCCAAGACCCAAAAAATTCGACACAAAAATGGATTTTGGACCCACAGGTAGCTACCTGTTGAAATTGACCAATTTTGCCTTTTTTCAAAATCCAAATTTTGATGCTTCACCACGGCCAAACCAGTTAAGGTAGGATGCTGAAATTTTGACACAAAATACTTTCAATTGTTAGCTTTGCAATGCCGCAAACAGCGATTCCATAGCTGCTCTACCAAGAAAGTTCTGGGCGATTCCGTTTTGCTCATGAAAATCAGGATTTTTTGGCACTTTTTCGCAAAATAAAAAAAGTTCTCAGAATCAAGTTTTATGGGCATTGGTGGACTCCTAGGGAAGCACCGAGTCCAAAAAACGAGGTTACATCGATTTCCAAGACCCAAAAAATTAAACCCAAAAATGGATTTTGGACCCACAGGTAGCTGTTGAAATTGACCAATTTTGCCTTTTTTGAAAATCCAAACTTTGCAGCTTCACCACGGCCAAACCAATTGAGATAGGATGATGAAATGTTCACAGGTATGAGTTTGACATCTTAGCTTTGAAATGCCACGACTCCATATCTACCTGACTTTGGAAGCACTGGGCGTTTTAGTTCTGTCCATGAAAAACCGGAATTTTTGTCACTTTTCCGCAAAAAAAAAAGTGCTCAGCATTCACTTTTATGCACATTGGCGGGAGCTATAGAAGTCCAAATTTTGCAGTTTCACCACGACCAAACCACGACCAAACCACTTGAGATAGGAAGATAAAATTTTCACAGGTATTAGTGTGAAATCTTAGCTTTTCAATGCCACAAACCGCGATTCCATATCTGTCTTACTTTGGAAGCACTGAGCGTTTTAGTTTTGTCCATGAAAAACCGGATTCGTTGGCACTTTTCCGCAAAAAAAAAAATGCTCAGAATTCACTTTTATGCACATTGGGGGAGAGCTAGAGAAGCACCGAGTCCAAAAAACAGGGTTACATTGATTTCCGAGACCAAAAAAATTCGACCCAAAAATGGATTTTGGTGCCACAGGTAAGTACCTGTTGAAATTTGCCAATTTTGCCTTTTTTGAAAATCCAAATTTTGCAGCTTCATCACGGCCAACCACTTGAGATAGGATGATGAAATTTTTACAGGTACTAGCTTTGCAACGCCACAAACCGCGATTCCATATCTGCCTTACTTTGGAAGCACGGGGCGTTTTAGTTTTATTGTCCATGAAAAACCGGCATTTTTGGCACTTTTACACAAAAAAAGTGCTCAGAATTTACTTTTATGCACATTGGGGGAGAGATAGAGAAGCACTTCTTGTGCACCAATATGCAGATTGCATATAGCTAGTTTGAAAACTTACAGATTTTGATTTGATTTCTTGTGTTTTTTTTAGTCCTTGGGGTCTATTTAGTAGGAAAAGATCAAAACATGAGCCAAAAGTTTGTATTTGGAAAAGTTGTCTATAGGCGATATTTGCCTCTATGGCCAATTTGCATTAAAATGTAAAAATTTATTTTCTGTTCTATGGCAGATATTTGAGTTCTGTTTTTTCTAACAAGTCCAGATAGTTCATGTGAATATTGATGCAAAATTTCAGCATTGTAGCTTTGTAAGTTTTCACACAAAAAAACAATTTATTTGTCTTTGAGCACTTACTATGCTCCACTGTGCAGACTGCAAATAGCTAGTAAGAAAACTTACAGATTTCAATTTGATTTCTTGTTTTTTTTAAGTCCTTGAGGTCTAATTAGTAGGAAAAGATCAAAAGTCGAGTCAAAAAGGTGTATTTGACAAAGTTGACTATAGGCCATATTTGCCTCTATGGCCAATATGCATAAATTTTTTCAGAAGTTATTTTCTTGTTATTTTGTGTTCTTGTTCATCACTGAACCGACTGCAAATACCTAATTTGGATACATACTGATTTTGATTTGGTTCTGAATTTTTTTAATTCCTATTGGTCTTATAATATTATATGGCTCTTTGTCTTCTGATTTTAATTTGGTCCCATGGGTCTAATTGTGTGTACAAGTGCACATTTTATGCAAAATTGTGTTATTTGGAAATATTTTGTCTTTTTTGAATTTTGTGGTATATTTCTAGGAATAACGCCCATAGTTCGTTTATTAGAGCATTTTTTTTTATAGTTTTAACTTGTAGATATCGTTAATGTGGATGTTCTCTAGAAACTTTAATAAGTGGCTATCATAGTTTAGAATTCTATATTCTTATTTGCAAGGTTCCCTTGTTTTTTTTTAAATAACTGGTTTTTGAATTTAATTTTAACTGATTTAAAATGCATCTTTTGTCTTTATAATAGGCTTGAAAAAAAACAGCAGGTTTCGGACTATATAAATTACAGAATAGTAATCAAGACAATAGATTTTAATCACAACAGTGATAGTAAGTGAAATTCACTCCTAACTAGTGACTAGTCGCTCAGTCAATTTGTTTCGTTTATAGCAACCGGTAAGTCGACTTTTTGAAATTCTCTAAAATTTAAGATACATTTTAAAAAATGCCCTCATCCTCCCTATTTGCCATAAGAAAGAAAATATCTAAGTTACATGTAAGACTCAAAGCAAAAAATCCATAGCAAATTTGTGTTGAGATACGGGACTTTGGGGAAAAGCTTGGCTCTGAACTAGGAATGAAAATAAGAAATATGAGTGAAAAAAGGCGGAATTCTATGGAATCGAAACTAAGGCCTGCCCGAGCTTGCCCCATTATTAAACTACTTTTATACATTTAATAAAAAAGGAAAATGACTCCAAATAGTTTCAAGGTCAAGTTTCTTTATATGTCGAAACGTTTCATGAAATTTTAACCAGTGTAATTTTTAAGTTAAAATGCCTTCACAATGACCTAAAATTGCTTCGAACAGGGGATATTATCAAAGACCATGCGTAATTATTCAATGTAATATTATTGTGTTTTGTCATTTCGTTTCAGGTCAGGGTGCTCAATAGTGGTTTTTACTTTTGAGTTAATACACCATGGTTGGATACCATTCCTGTTTAGGTTAGTATATCATAGTTGTAGATTATCAGGGTATAAAGTTGTGCTCTTTACATGCAAATAAATCGTACGTGTATAATTGCTTGCATGGAAATTGGCATAATGACTTATCAAGCGTGTTTGAGTTCGTCTGATGATTGTGACCCTTGATACAGCAGATATTATGAGACAATTCGGTACAAACTATATGACCTGAGAATGTTACTAGATACCCGGAAGTGACAACAGCCAAATCTTTCAATTTGTTTAGTTTATTGGACTAAAGTTTAAATTATGATTCTGAAAAGTGTTACATATAGATTTTAAATGAGCTTGGTCAGAAAAGTAAAAATAAATAATTATAACATCGTAAAACACAAAGTTTATTTTTATTTCTATTCTTTTTTTACTATGGCGTTTTCTTACATTTCAGTGTTTCGAGTATAGAAGCTCGTCTTCAGCTACGGACAACATGGTTAGATATGGTGTGCAACCTAGGTTTTTGGAGGTAGTTCACACGGAGCAAAATTCTCGCGTTTTTGGGTTGGGCTCACGTGTAGTTTAGTTGTGGCAGCCTGTGGGCTACCTTGTTAGGGCCACCTAGGTTGTACTTGGCTAAGCTGTCATATCATGTCCACCCAGCCTCTCTTGAAACAAATGGAGGTAAGTTAAGAGAATTTTCATTTCATAATTGTCAGACACTGTCTTGTTCACTTTTACCTAGTTGATTTAGAAAAGGTGTTGAGTTTACTTTATATATTACCCTTGATTCAGTAGTCTAATATAGTAAATCCCACTTTCTCCAGCCAATATGATCAACAAAAGTCGTGTTTCAAATGGTTTAGCTATTCAAATCTATACATAATCATTTTGTGCACAATTGTTCAAAGACTTTAATTGGTTGAGAATTGATTTATATCATAGAATACTGACTTGAAGGATCAAGGGTAAGATAAGAAAAGCTCATTCACCTTTATTTGATCAAGATAGGCATAATCAGAAAAATTAAGTTAATTATGGGGAGTAATTTTCCCTCGACAGCAGTGAATCAGGATTAATTGTTTCTCTTCTTAAAACATAGACCAAGTATGGGAATCAGTTCTTGATTATAATGAAAATGGCAATGTAGAAACATCAAAATTTTTCTGGGTCGGCTCTGTCAAAACTAGGTAGAAATGAACAAGTTTCAGACTAATACCTAATAACAAAAACTCGCGCACTATATACACTACAATACGGTCATGATGTTGAGAGGATTTGAATAAGCGAATCCATAGAAATAAATGCAACAAAATATGTAAAAGCAGACTGGCAATATTGATTGGATAACCTCTAGTGAAAAATTTTCAAAACTTTGTCGATAACATGCACCCATAAGTCGTCCAACCTATTTCAGGGTGGAAAATTTTATATTATACACGCAAATATACAGTTTATATTTTGTGATGAAATGAATAACATAAAAAAAATTATTTTAGGTGTATACAAATAGAGTTTCATTATATAAGAATAAAGTGCTTATGGTGTGGCATGGAAGCTCCTCGTGTAAGTTTCACATTATCATATTTTACCAATTCTGCATGTTCTGGCATATTATGCATAAAGTCTAATGGTTCAAATATTACCAGGAGCCTTGGTGGCTCAGTGTGCTACTGGTTTTGCGTCTGAAAGATAACTCGACATTTGGACGTCGAAAAAACAAGACTAATACTACGGTCTTGGCATTATTAACTTCGTTGCACAGCTACTCAATCAGATGCAGAATAGATAAACGTAATACTCCTTTTAACTGATTTTAATTTCAAATTTGACTGACAAACATATTTTGATAATAGGGGATGCAACCTTGATGGGCGTAACACAAAAGAGTTCGATATCTCTCTTACTGACATCGAGTCATTATTGTGAGGTTAATGTTGGTCGTTCCCATTCCAGTCAACCTAATCATGAATTTCAAGCGGTTGGGACACGGATCAGTTGGTTAAAAGATCATAAGTGAACCTATGTTGTTAAAATGGTTGTTTGTTCTTAACAGCACATTACCTTATCCAAATGTCCCCTTTTCCAATCTGCTACTGATTTTGACAACTCGATATCCTTTGAAGAGTTGACTATTTTAGACACCTCTGAATTAAGAGTGGGTGATATTACATTCTTATTACATATTTCTGTATACAATTTTAAAACATTTAATCCAAAATCTAAATCCAATTTATGTTTATCAACCAAACATTTGGCTGCTTTTGTGTTTTTTATACAGTTCAAAATCAAAATAATTAATTCATATAATAATAATTAAATTAGAAGAGAATTACCAGCAGAATTCCAATGATTGACCGATATGAAAAGTCCAAACTGTATATACATAGAAATTTGTGATTGGTTAAGACTCTTAATTATATGCAATAGGAACAAAATGATATGATTAAGAATACACCATAATTCATAAGAAACACCAATTAATTAAATAGTTTGCTTAATTTGACACTAAAAAAATAAAGAAATCCATCTTTAATCTGTGACTTTAAGTTCCATACCAAGTTGCAAAGTGTGATCAGGGTGATAACTCAGTGTGAAAGGGAAGTGTGAAATTCCTCACCATTGTCTATCTGTCTGCCAATCAATTCGGACAGTTGCTGCTTATAATTTAATGCTCAAACAGATGCTGATTTTTATAGTTGAAATAGTTACTGACTTTTTAAGTTCTTGAAAAAATAATTGTCCTTAATATTCAAATCAGTCCAGTCCAAGACTTAAACAAGGCCCCGTTTTGTTGAAGCATTGCTGATGAAATTTGCTGCTGTGTTTGGGATCGCTCGTTGATTGTACGTTTTGGTACGTTACTATTTTGGTTTGATTCAATTTCAGATTAGAAAGGGTAAATCGTCTGGTAATTTACCTACCCACTATAGCACTGCCACAATAGGAGTGTTCTGGGGTCATGGCCTGTATGATTCTACAGATCCTCCTATTCACAGATGAAGAACAGATGAAGCGGCGCGCGCCAACAGATGAAGGACAGATGAAGAACAGATGAAGAACAGATGAAGAGGAACAGATGAAGAAGTAGGGCGATTACTCCGCCCATTTTTGGTAAGTTGATCTTGAAATTTTTTAGACAGACAGCTGCTCATTTAATTTGAGTTTTGGAATCCTGGCGTCATTTGCTTTCCATCTAACAAATAATACTAAATGGGTTCTAATTTGTATTGGAATGGAGATGCCCTAGTTTCTCCACCCACTTTATTCAACATTCCGAGGACAAACCGTAGCTCCACCAGCAACAAATCATATTTGACATACAATTCGTACAAATGAAAAGGTATCCGCAATTCCTTAAACCATTTTTGTAGGAACATCTCAAGTTTTAAACATTTTGAGGACTGTACTTCATTCATTAAATGACCAAGGACCAGTTGTCAAGATCTTCTCTAACCTGAGTTCTTACTCTTGTAAAAAATAGTTTTGAATTTGTGTATTTTCACATGGATCCATATCGAGATTGCTGATGGTATCTGGTTTTCACAAAATCTGGAAGGTTTAATTGATTGTTTTGATGACTTGTATAGAAGTTTCGATTGCCGCTTGAAAGGCAGGGCGTGTTTACTACTTTCATAACATCAGATGGTCCTTTTCGTGTGAGTCCACTGCTCCCGATTTTGTCATGATATATATTTGGTTAACGAAATTGTTTTGCCTGTACAGATTTTTATTTCTTGTAATTTCTCTATGACTTAACCAAACTCACACTTCTCGAATTTTGATGCATGATGCTTGCCTTTTAAATGCAGCCTTTTAGTTGTAAATCTGATTTCTGTCACTAACAGTTTCTTTGTTAACTGTTATCTGCGGTGGCTCAGTGTATTAGACGCTTTCTTGCTAATCTGAAATCCAGGGTTTGTTGGATTGAACAATTAACAGAGGCCCTCTGTGCTACAGACTATCGCGTTAAATATCCCTCAAAAGTAAGAAATCGATAATGAGTTTCATATTAATATTTCATTTTATGAATAAATATGATTTGCTATTATTTCTTTTGGTTATATAAGAATTGTAGTGACAATAAAGGGAAAGGTAGGGGATGAAGGTTCTTGATTCCTTGGACAGGTTTGAAGTTCTTAATTTCTTGGACAGGTTTGAGGTTCGATCGAAGTAATTGAACATATACGACCTCTAATCAAGTCGTTGCGATGAATATGATCGGCGTGGTTGAAATAAGCAGCGCAGTTGGGTAGAAAGGGGGGTGGGGGGGGGGGGCTGGAACTGCCCCCTTCAGCCTCGACAGTAATTGCCCTGATTGAGTCAGTCTAAAGCCTATTTGTTCCTATGTTTTGTACTCTGTGAGGCTGGCCCAGCCACTGCAGCTACTGGTTGGTTAATCTGCTAAAACCTTGACATTGTTTATGACTTTGTTTATGACTTGCTTCATGCAGTTTTGCATAAAATGTAAAGAATAATTAAATGAAATTTGGGAAACATTTTTATACCTAAATATATCATGCATTTTTTTTTAATTTGAAAGTGAAAGTCAAACGAACAGGAAAGTTGACAGTTATCATGAACTAGATATAGCCTAATTATAAGTAGCTAGTAATGACCTCTTTCCATTCAAAACTAATGTAGTTGACGAGAAAGTGTTCTCCAGAGCCAAAACTAAAATAAGTAGCAAAATTAGACTCCTATCAAACTCTTTGCATGGTCAGTTGAAAAATCATGAAAGATGGAGGGGCAATATTCATTCGTTGTCATTCCTAAATTTGTGCACAGCGGAATTTTTATACGCCCACACGTCCGTTCGTCCGTCCACAATTGCTCGTAAACACTCTCCTATACACAATTCTTAACTGATTTCGACGAAACTTGGTATGGTTGTTTGTAATCACCCAAGGATGAATCATATTGAAAATCAGAAAAATCGAAAAAAATTTAGTATGAGTTATTGCCCTTGTTCTTGAAACACTCGTAAACACTCTAAAAGGTGCAATTCATGACAGATTTTGATGAAACTTGGTGTGAGTGTTTGTTATCACGCAAAGATGAACCCTTTTTAAAATCAGAAATATCGAAAACTAATTAGTATGTGTTATTTCCCTTGTTCTTGAAAACGCGTTCAAGTTTAGCTTGTAAACCCTCTAGAAGACACAATTCTAGATGGATTTTGACGAAACTTGGTGTGAGTGTTTGTAATCACCCAAGGATAAAGCCTATTGAAAATCAGAAAAATAAAAAAAAATATTTAGTTTTTTAAAGATTGAACACGTTTTCTAGAACAATAACTCATACTCATATGTTAAGGGAGATAATTATTCTTCTGTTTGGGAGGCTCATTCAGTCTTTTCTATTTGAAATAAATATACAACTTTTTTGGAATTAGCTGTTTTATTTTTCTCTCTTCGGGTAAATTATCGCTTTTATTTTACTTAATTCTATATCAGAATGTTTATTAACTATCCATATTCATGCTCAAAATAGGAATAGGTGTTGACAGTTCTTGTCATGTGAAAACGTAGTCAATTTATGGAGTGTAGAATTGGGTCCTTTTCGTATGACGTAGGCTAAAGGAAGGCCCAGTAAATGTTATTTTCCTCCTCATGAATTATATTGAATACGAATGTCAGAATAAGTAGAGGGAGTCAATCTGGATGTTATGCCCTGCAAATTTCGGCTTTCTGTGCAGCATACATTGAATGCTAGGAAATGAGCAAAATTTGGTTGATGCTATTATGGCTATGTAGGCTAACTGTGGGTGTTTTTGATCTATATTTTGCCCTCTTTCGGGAATAATGCCCATGGCAAAGTCTAATTCCTTAACTAAGAAGGCATAGGCCCTATTCAGTTTTGTTTTTCTGACATGTAGAGATAGTCAATGTGGATGTTACTTGCATATTTCGATTTGATGCTATTTTGAAATGGTCCTCTGTTATAACCTAGACTAGGCTACTTAAAATCTTTGAACATGGATGACAAATTATTTTGCGCATTACAATGTCACAGATAACGAGATATCTCGCAAAAGCACCTCGTGTTCCACAAGAGTTCTGAGTAATACCATACTCCAAAACATTCATATATGTTTTGTTACGAGCCTAAAAGAATTTGCAGATGTAAGAGGGTTGTCTCCCTTTCCGTCATGGCGTCCAGTAACAAACGAAAATTCAATTTGGATGAAAAAGAGGTAAGAAATATATGTTTGTAGACTCTGGATCGTAGTAAGGAGAAGAGTGTGACTCAACGCAACGATGCATCCAATCAAAAGTGATCAAGAATATAAATAAAGTTGGTACCGTAGTGCAAAATATTTCGTTGTTAGCGGCTTTAATGAAGAGATTTAAATGCCTAATAATCCGATTGAATGGAAATGGGAGAAAGTCGACAATAAGCCTGTATGGTTGTGAGTTAGATAACCTGAATGAAGACAGCTCTGCTCTGGAAATTTTCAATGAGTTTATGTGTGAAGTGCTTTGGCAGAAAATTATGTTTTTGCACATGCAACATTCACACCAGAAAACTATTTCGATTGGTAGCCTATAGTATGTAAGCCAAAAATTTAGATGGATTGGGGATTAAAACACCTTATTCCCTAGTCTATATTATACCTCATGAGTCATGATGGATATACTTATATACCATGCAAACCAGTTCAACTATAATGAAGAAGATGTAGGCATTGATAGACTGTTTAAAATTTGACCTGTTGTTGACATTCTGAATAAGAAATTAAAATCAGCTTACACACCATCACAGGATATTGCGATTGATGAATCACACATAAAGTTTTATGTTAGACTTTGATTCAAACAATACAATTAATCTAAGTCTGCAAGATTTGGTATAAAGTTTTTAAATTGAGCCAAGCTAAGGGTCCTGCATTTGGATATACCTGGAAGTTGAAGATATATACCGGACATGACAGAGATTCAAGTAACTTTCCAACTAGTGCCAAAGCGGTTATGGATCTTAGTTTCCGAACAACATTTACGTTTACTACTGCTGCAATGGCCCTGATCTTAGCTGATTACACAAAAAACAAACATGCATGTGGGTGGAACTATGGGTTTAAGTCGTAAAAACATACTAAGAAACTCAAAACTAATTTGCTCATACCGGTACTGAGAAAAACATCCTTGTTTTCCCAAACTAGGGCAGATATTTGAATTCTGTCTTTTTTTTATACGCCCACATGAAATGGGGGCGTATATTGTCGTTACCCATTTCCGTCCGTCCGTCCGTCCGTCCACAATTGCTCGTAAACACTCTAGAAGGCACAATTAATGACTGATTTCGACGAAACTTGGTATGGTTGTTTGTAATCACCCACGGATGAACCCTATTGAAAATCAGACGAATCGAAAAATATTTACTATGAGTTATTGCCCTTGTTCTTGAAACGCTCGTAAACACTTTAGAAGGTGCAATTCAGGACGGATTTTGATGAAACTTGGTATGAGTGTTCGTAATCGCCCAAGGATAAACCCTATCGAAAATCGTAAAAATTGAAAAATAATTAGTATGAGTTATTGCCCTTGTTCTTGAAAACGCGTTCAAATTTTAGCTTGTAAACACTCTAGAAGGGACAATTCTTGACGGATTTTAACGAAATTTGGCTTGAGTGTTGGTTATCACCCAAGGATGAACCCTTTTGAAAATCAGAAAAATTGAAAAATATTTAGTATGAGCTATTGCCCTTGTTCTTGAAAACGTGTTCAATTTTAGCTTGTAAACACTCTAGAAGGCACAATTCTTGACGGATTTTAACGAAATTTGGCTTAAGTGTTTGTTGTCACCCAAGAATAAAGCCTATTGAAAATCAGAAAAATCGAAAAATATGTAGTATGAGTTATTGCCCTTGATCTTGAAAACTCGTTTCATTTGTGCTTGTAAACACTCTAGAAGGCATGATTCTTGCCGAATTTTGACAAAACTTGGTTTTATTATTCATTACCGTGCTGAAGATTGAATATTTGTCTTCTAGAGTTTTCAGGAGCTAAAGATTGAACACGTTTTCAAGAACTAGGGCAATAACTCATTCTCAATATTATTCAGTATCGCCCTAAAGAGTCCAAAAGAAGTGTATGTATTTCATACTGGTGATTGTTACTGTACTGCTAAATATTTATGTTCAAAATCAAAGCTGCCAGTGGGCGTATATTACCTTGCCTGGCTAGCTATCTTTTACATATTAAGTATTGTTGAGATAGTCAAACTATGCTCTTACATGAAATGTGGAGTGTATATATTGGTGTCAACCATGTTGGTCCGTCTACAATTGTTCGTTAACATTCTACGAGGCACATTTCTTTACAGATTTTGACGAAATTTGCTTAAATTGTTTATTTTAATCGTATATCCAAATGATGAACCATATCGAAAGTCAAAGGACTTGAAAAATATAGAATCAAAGAATTGAAAAGTGTTTATTATCACCCAAGGATGACGCAAAATCGAAAAAATATTATATGGGTTTTGCACTTGTTTTTGAAAACACTGTCAATTTTTATACGCCCACATGAAATGGGGGGCATATATTGCTGTCACCCATGTCCTTCTGTCCGTCCGTCCACAATTGCTCGTAAACACGCTACAAGACACAATTCTTGATGGATTTTGACGAAACTTAGTATGAGTGTTCGTAATCACCCAAGGATGAACCCTATTGAAAATCAGCAGAATCGAAAATTATTTAATATTAATTATTCCCTTGTTCTTGAAAACACGTTCAATTTTTAGCTCGTAAACACTCTAGAAGGGACAATTCTTGATGGATTTTAACGAAACTTGGCATGAGTGTTCGTAATCACCCAAGAATGAACCTTATTGAAAATCAGAAGAATTGAAAAATATTTAGAATGAGTTATTGCCCTTGTTCTTGTAAACGTGTTCAATTTTTTGCTCGTAAACACTCTAGAAGGCACAATTCTTGATGGATTTTGACGAAACTTAGTATGAGTGTTTGTTATCAACCGAGATAAAACCCTATTGAAAATCAGAAAAATCGGAAAATATTTAGTTGAGTTATTGCCCTTGTTCTTGAAAACGCATTCAATTTTTAGCTCGTAAACAGTCTAGAAGGCACAATTCTTGACAGATTTTGACGATACTGTGAATGTGAATGTTCGTTATCACCCAAGGATGAACCCAATTGAAAATCAGAAGAATTGAAAAATATTTAGTATGAGTTATTGCTCTTGCTCTTTCATATTTTTATTTAAAATCAAAGATGCCAGTGGGCGTATATTACCTTGCCTGGCAAGCTATCTTTTTACTTGTAATCACTCAAGAAGGCACAATTCTGGACGGATTCAGACGAAACTTGGTGAAATCGTTTATCCTCCTAGGATGAACAATATTATAATAATAATAATAATAATAATTTGACTAGTTTGAATTTGATTTTTTTTCTTGTTTTAAGGTTTTTGAGTTATTGCCCTTTACTTAGTCAAAAGGTGTCAAAATTTGTTAGTTAACACAAAAGTGACTGCAGTTTTGATCCGATTTTTATTAAATTTGGTGTGATCATTTATCATGATAAGGTCTTGGTCATTACAATTTGACGATATTTCGATAAACGGATATTGAGTTATCAGTTTATTTGTTTCGGAGGCACAATAGAAACTTCAATTCTATTAATCAAATATGGTGTGATAATATAACAGTTTTGAGTTATTGCCCTTGACTTAGTAAAAACTTTTCAAAATTGTTTAGTTTCTAAAATAAAACGAAAAATTTCAAAGAATTTTGATGAAAATTGGAGATATTGGATAATTAAAAGTTTTATTTTTCGGTGAACAGTTTTTGGGTTTTTGCCCTGACTTGGTAAAAAAAAACACGTCAAAATTTGTTTGTGAGCACAATAGAAGCTACAATTTTAAATCAATTGCAAATTGGGGTGATCATTGGAATTGAAGTTCTTGAGTAAGGAAATGATTACTTTTGCAATGCACATTTTCTGAGTTCTGAATCTTGACAGATTAATCATTATGATTTATGCTGCTCTTAATTGAATCTAACTATTAAACACATCTGATGTGTGGGTGTTTGGTCATCCTCGAATTAGGTAATAATAGGATGTTCTAATTAAGTATTATTGCCCTAGATTTGATGATAACTTTGTCATTATGAACATCTTCAAGGGGAATTCGCTTTTTTTGTAAAACAATTTCATTACGGTATCAAAAACATTGTAAATTATACCTGAAAATATTCTAAAATATGCTAATTTTATCTATGTATCTACTTGATCAAACTGAATTTGTTTTAAAAGGGTTAATTTAAAGCTGAGCATAATAATTGTTAATTAAGCAGTTTGACCTAGTTTCGGTGATCATCTTTATAATGGCTCGTTATATTCAGTTAAAATCCTTAGAAAATATAAGGGAGACATATTTCTCTTCAATTACCAGTATGCATTTATTTTATTCAAATCCATTCAGTAGTTTTCTAACAGCTTGCAAAAGGGATAACAAACTTTAAAAGTTTCAGATTTTTTCAGTTATAATTTTCAGATACGTTATGGGATACATTTCTATAGATTTGGTTTATGTTTCTATGTCTGGCAAGCTATCTTTGCCAAGGACAACAACTATGTAAACTAGGATCCTTTTTACCAGCTAGTTTTTGGATAATAAATGATTAAAGAAGAAAGATTAAGATTGGATTATTGAACATGAATGAAATGAATGGATGAAACATAGTGAGAAGCAGGTTACTGTATCAAAGGCTCAATATCTGACTTGTGAACACTTGATAAAGCGAATACCACCAAACATGGTGACAAGAGTAACGGTCGAAAGGTACGAAAGGTCGAATGATGTCGGAGTCGTACACACTTGATTAATTTACGACTTCTGGCAACAGGCTACTGTATCAAAGGTTCAATGATGTCGAACTCTTAATCACTTGGTAAATCTAGATTGATTGCCACTGGCTACTGCATCAAAGGTTCAATGATGTCGGACTTTTAATCACCGGATAAATCCAGATTGATTGCCACTGGCTACTGCATCAAAGGTTCAATGATATCAAACTCTTAAGCACTTGATAAATCTAGACTTATGGCAACTGGCTTCTGTATCAAAGGTTCAATGTTGTCGGACTCATAAAAACTTATTATATCAACTATTGACACCTGCTTTAATTGAATTAAAATGTTTATTTTCAGCCGTCATGTCTGCGGGAACTCAATAGCTGTCTTTACTATTGGGTTTGACATACACCACACACACACAGTTAGATGATCAACGTAGCACGGTCAGTATACAA